ATCGTGTCTCTGACTCCTAGGTTGTCACCTCCTGAATGTTTCCATGGCCGAGCTAAATCTTCAGTGGAGCTGAGAAGACAGATAGTGGAAAAACTTACGGGGGTTGCTATCTCACATCCAACAAATTCCATACCCCCTGTGTCCAAAAGATCCTTGGTTAGCTGGAATTCACTACTTCTTGACCACTCGTCTTGAACAGCCTGCTTCGTGCTTGGTGCAGTAGATAGCATCTTCATTTGCACGCATCACATTTCCGTTGCGGCATCTATCGCTGCTTAGTGCAGACCAGCTTCCGAGCCTGAAGGCTGCCTGGACATGGTCCCCATAGCCTTCACCATGTGCAGCCCGACTCCCCGCAGGCTCCCCAGAAGCTGAAGAAAGGAGGAAGCAGTTTTAGGAAAATGTTCCTCGATGATGTCTTGCCCAATACCCATGGCTGCCCAGCTGCCTGAATGGCTTAGCCAGCTGCCCATGAGCTTTGGAAAGCTTTGGTTTTCTGATTACTAATGCTATGAGGATTTATTTTTATTTCTCATTAGCTCAGCTGGAAAAAAAAAAAAAAAACAGCAACAGGAAATTTCTCTTGACTGAACATTTACACATTGTTTACAGTGTAATAGAATTCAGGGAAGTTAAGTCAAGTCATAGTTGGTGGGCATAGAGTCATTTGTCCGTGCCTTTAATCTCTACACTCAGTAGAAAAGGGGAAACAGGAAGAAGCCGGTTACTATTCTTTCAGAATGAACTCTGCTGGAGATGAAGGTTTGGTAATGCCTGACTACTTGTCTAACCAATGAAAGTGGGGTAAAAATTACACTTAAATATTAACCTTAGCTGGGCAGTGGTGGCACACACCTTTAATTCCAGCACTCGGGAGACAGAGGCAGGTAGATCTCTGAGTTGGAGGCCAGCCTTGTCTACAAAGTGAGTTATAGGAAAGCCAAGGCTACACAGAGAACCCCTGTCTTGAAAGCAACAAAAGGAGTCATTTCTAAAATGTGGCTAGCTATGCTTTTAGAAGAAACCTAAAGACAGCTGATACTGTGTGTGTGTGTGTGTGTATGTGTGTGTGTGTGTGTGTGTTTGTGTGTGTGTGAGAGAGAGAGAGACCCTACACTCTAGTGAGAACCACCATTATGTAAAGTGACAAGACTTGAATCGGTTAAGATGAAACACACAAAAAGAATTTCCCAGCATAGTTCCTCTCCAAGCGCGGAAGTGTACCAGTGTGGTAAAGATCATTTTTCTCCGGAACCACAGACACATGGATTTGTCCAGCTATATCAAGCACTTGGCCAATGCCTCACGCAAGTTGCTTAACCTGCCTACTTCAGCTTCCTCGCTTTAAAAATGATTCTAAAACTCCTTTCCTTGGGATCACAGTAAAAATTCAATGAGATAATACATACATATTTCTTGGTGCCAAATAGGTGCACAAAGGTAACATTCAGGTTGACCAGCTAGCTAAGCAGGAAAAGGTGCTTGCCAACAGCCTGGACAACCTGGGTTCTCTCCAGGAAAGAGAACACAGAACTACAAGCTGACCTCTGACCTCTATGTGCACCACACACACACATGCAAAATAAATAAACAAATGTTTTTAAAACATAGTAACATTCTTATTATCCTACTCCATTACCACAACATGCTCTGGCTGCCTTTTAAAGCTTTATTGTTTTAAAAGAATAATACTTGAAACATAGCAAGCTTGTGTAGGACACATAATTAGCCTTGCACAATCATAATTTACTTTACAACCACATTTTCACAGTGAATTCCTACATGCTTAAGTCACAGTTCTACAAAGTTCTTGTTGCTTATTGCATGTTTCCTTTTATTTGTGTGTGTAAGGGGGTGTACATTCATACGTGTGTGTGTGTGGAACTAGAGATCAATGTAGGGTGTCTTCCTCAATGGCTCTCTACCTCATTTTTTGAGACAGGGTATCTCCATGAACCTGGGGCTCACCAATTCAGCTAGCCTAATTGTCCAGCAAGCCTGTGGGATCCTCCTACCTCCATCTCTCCAGCGCTGGGGTTATAGGTGAATCCTTCTAAGCCTGGCCTTTTAACATGGCTGCTGGGAATTCAGACATGGGTTCTCATGCTTTTGAGTCAAGCACTTCACAAACTGAGCCATCTCCTCCTCAGTTAATAGTTGTTCTAAGAATGAGAGCTTCTGGGACACTCACTGAAAATTCTGAAGTGTGGATTGATCAGTTGGTAACAGTTAAACACGTTTGTTTTGTATGGAGAATTCATTTTACATCTTCTCTTCTTATGTGAATATAAAAGGGCAAAGCTGGGGCTAGGAAAGTGGCTCAGTCAACAAAATTTTTCTTCTCTACCAAAAGAACTTAAGTTTTGAACCACATAAAAGGCTGGGCACACTGTGCACCTGTAATTCCATCACTAGAGAAGTAGGGACAGGTGAGTCCCTGGCGCTCACCTACCAGTAAGCCTAGCCAGTTCAGTGAGCTCCACTGTTTCAAAAATCTACCCTGTTTCAAAAATTAGGTAGAAAACAACCAAGAAAGACACTGGACACCAACCTGTGGCTTTTACATACATATACACCCACATTCATGTACATTTTCATCCTCATGCACACATGAGCACATGCATGAACATATACACATATATACCACACCAGAAAGAAAGAAAGAAAGAAAGAAAGAAAGAAAGAAAGAAAGAAAGAAAGAAAGAAGAAAGGAAAGAAGGAAGGAAGGAAGGAAGGAAGGAAGGAAGGAAGGAAGGAAGGAAGGAAGGAAGGGAGGGAGGGAGGGAGGGAGGAAGGAAGGAAGGAAGGAAGGCAAGTCTACAAATTGATAGAAGGCAAAGCCAAATTTTACAAAATCAAGAAATGTTGTGAAGAACACTGGGAAGTCATTCACTCAATAAGTAGCCTTTTCTTAGCACCTACAAGGCTCTCAACACTGTTCAGGGCTTTCAGAATTAAGAAAGGCAGATAAGAGGCCAGCCATCATGAAGCCAATGATTGAAACAGGTGTCTCTCTAGGGAAGAAGTAACCAATGTGAAATAAAATAAAAGGAATCTGGTCCCCTCATGTCTGGCTTTCTCATTCCAGTGGCCCATAGAAGAAGACCCACAGAAACTCATGGGTGACTCCGTGTTCCAAAACACAGCAACTGCACCAAATAGGCAAGCCCCACTGTCTTTACACCGGCATTCTTTTCCATATGGAATCAATTTGTTAAACAGCCCCATGAACGGCTCTGCAGGCTCAATATTAGAGGACACTTGAAACCTGAAACCTGCCAGCACACCATAAATTACAGGTCCGAAAGATGAAACTGGTTGAAGGGATTTAGCACCCTGAGCCCCATGCCCCACAAACAACCTCAGATCCTGGACTCAGATGTGTTCTCACTCTGACTGGAGCACTTTGCTAGGGCTGTTCCTTCTTCTAGGAAATAAAAGGATGATGGCAGACATGAGGGTTGGCTAGCTGCTGTGGTAATTCAAAATCTCAGTCTCCTGGCACAAGAAAATAGACTTTTGTTCCTAGTGTGGTGCGATGCTTATCAATGAGGTGGTCCTGTTCTCTCTCATCAGTTAGGGGCTTGGGCTTTGCAGCTGTGTGGTTCCATCTCTTGTCTTCTATGGCCTTGTCCTCCACATACATTGGCAGGTGAGGAGAGAAAACAGGTGGGAAGAACTATGTCCTCTCTAGACCAGGTCTCAAGGGAGTTTTTCTCCCTTTTGTCCATTTTCCCCTGATAGTTGGAACTCTGTCACAATTCCTGAACCTGGTGTAGAAAGCTTAGAATGTGGTCTGACTGTGTGTCCAGGGAGAAGAGAAAATACCGTGGGAACATGGAGGGATATTTCTCCATAGCCCTTACTCCAGATGGTGTCTGGAGATGACGTAATACATAGCTGTAGGAATTCATATGAATTTCTGGATCAATAAATACTCCAGAATGGCTAGGTCAAGGCTTGTCTTCTCCACCCAGCAGGCCTGCTACCTATCTTCATGTTGTCTGGAGGAGTAACTGTAAAAGAGGGAAAGCAAAGCTGGTCCAAGCCTTTGCCTTCTTTTGGGTATCCTAGAATCAATTAATTTTGGATGTTTTCATGTGGGTAAGAGAAGTGACCAAGGAGAGGCCATCTTTCATCACATACCACTGTTTCTTTGGGCCTTCCACTGCCCAGTGTAAAGTCACTTGCCATTAAGGCATCCCTTAACTGTGTGACCTTCAGGTCTCAGGGAAGCTGAGCTGTGTCAGATAGACTAAGCTAGCCCCACTCTCCCAGCTGCCATGGAAGGATTTCCTCTCGACACTGTAAATCCGATCCTTCCAGCACCTGCTTGAAATCCAGCACTGTGTTTCCGCTCGTGTAGAATAAAATCCAGATGATTTATGATGGATCAGTATCCCTACCTACCTCCCAGGTTCAGCCCATCTTCAACTTCATCTCTCCTTTTCCCTAGTTTGTTCATTCATTTATCCCATAGCTATTCACACAGTCTCTCTTCTAGGCACTGGGACCGCAGTGATCACACATATTCAGGAGTTGGTGGAGGCTGTGTTCTTGCATGGCTGCTGTCTCAGCTGCTGTCCTTGTCCCTATTCTCCGCTATGTGGCTTGGTGCTGGCCTTCTTCCTCCTTCAGTCTGTCTCCCGGAAGCCTGTTTAGAACAGACCTTGCTCCCTTGGTTGTGCTCCATGTGCCCACTGCTAATCAGGAAGCTCCCCTGGCTCCCCCGGGTGCAGTTGCTGTCTGTCTCCCTCTACTGCAGCCCAACCCCTGTGAGGGCAGATGTCTTGTTTCTCCTGGTCACTTTTGTATCCTCAACAGCTGTTAATGCGATGAGAAGTTTATCACCAACTATCCCTCGAACAAATGGTTTAACAAATGGATGAACTAAAGAGTGGCAGCAATGGGTGCCTTACTGGTGGCCTGTGGAAGAACTGATCTTGTTTGCCCTTAGGAGCCTGTGTTTATTTCTCATCCCTCTGATCGTTGTGTTGCAGGGAATGACACCGCTCCATTGGGCAGCCTTCCACAACCGGCCTCAGCACACACAAATGCTGTTGAAGAAGGGGGCAGACCCTACCCTCGTGGACAAGGACTTCAAAACAGCTCTCCATTGGGCAGTTCAGGTGAGAGAGCAGGCTGTGAGCTTGTGTCAAGTTTAAATGATGTAAAGCTATGTTAGCTATTTGCTGAACAGGCCCACCACGAAAGTGGGAACTATCACACATGCTAGTCCTGATATTTATTTGAAAGGTATGTGCTAGAGCAAGGACAGTCTCTGCTCCTTTGCCCTCCTTTTATATCCAAAAAGGCAATAAGAAATCTGATACACACACACACAACACACACACACACAACACATACACACATACAGTGCTTAAAATTGACTCACAGAAACCCTCGGAGGATTATCGGGCAAATCTCTTCAAAATCTTTGGACCAGAGCTCACTTTCCTCCACCCCAGCCCTCCACTGCAGATGGTCCTGACTTTCGCACGGAATGGTGAAAACAATGCCTCACACGTCTACATCACTGTCACAGGAGTTGTGCCACCTCAGTCCACACAGCCATAAGTAGCAGAATAGGCATGTGGACTCTAGAGCGTAAGGAAACTCAAACAGACTGAGCCGAAAGAGTGGAGCCAGCTAAGAGCTCTGAAGTCTGTCCGATGGCCAAGGGGAATGGCTCACTTGACAAATGAACGGAGTTACCTAGTCCCACCCTCAAGGAGAGCAGCTGGGTGCCTCCTTCAGCAAGTTTGTTCTTGTTTTCGATAGGCATCAGTTTCGATGCCCGCTCACAGATCCCCACTCTTCCCTGCCATTGGCCAGTCAGGGTAACCTTTCAGAAGGGCTGCCAGCCTGGCTGTGAGAGTCACCTCTGCTACCCAGCTGTGGTTTCACTCAGTGTTTTCATGTTGGCAGAGGTAGCACCTGGGACTTTCAGGACTCACACGTGTGCCTGAGGTAAGAGAAAAACAAGTGATTTGGAAACTGCTGTTTTTGTGCCTCTAAACTTGGCTTCAGTTACGGGGCACTGGACCCAGCCCTGGGCAAAATCGCACAGCGAGCAAGACTTGTTTTGGTCAGCTCCACCTGCCCTGGCATCCTCCTACGTACTTTCATTATCTAACCACAGCCCCTCCCCCTCCCTGCCTGCTCTGTCCAGGACACTTAGAAATTGCCCCTGGCCAGTTAGGGGTTCCATTGGGTGGTGGGGTCTGGCTCAGCACGAAAGCGATGTCCTGGGCACGGTGGTTCTGAACTGAGGTGGGAATGAATTAACTATATCTCCATCTTCACCCTCCACACCCTCGCTCAAGCCTTGACTCCTGCCTCTGGGCTGTGTGTCCCTTGGGAAAATCTCCTCCTAGGTGATTCTGTTGGACAAGCACCACGTGCTCCCTCTTCCTCCCTAAATTAGCCTTTTCCATGGAAAGAACGCCCAGCAGGCCTTGCGCAATGGCCAATTGATAAGGCATCTGCTCCTATCCTCTAGGTGGCAGTTTGGCAGAAGCCAGAGCAACACACTCTTGAATTTCCATGACAGCCCCGATTTGACCTAAGGAGAGACACCCATACCTTCGCAGTTGAACTCCAAATTACCAGGAGAGGGAGGGGATGAGTGAAACCGTGCGCACGGCAGCTGTAGGATGTGGGATGGAGCAGGAGAAAGCAAGTCGCTCTGTTATGATGCCTAACTTTTACAGAGACTTGATGGTCCTATTGAGTACCCTACTCTCTAAATCAGCAGTTTTCAACCTGTGGGTTGTGACCGCCTTTGGGGGTTGAATGACCCTTTCATGGGGTCACCTAAGACCAATGGAAAACACAGCTATTTACATTAAGGTTTATAATGGCTCAAATGTACAGTTATGAAGCAGCCATGAAAATAATTTTATGGTTGGGGGCCACCACAACATAAGAAAATGTATTAAAGGGTGGCAGCACTAGGAAGGTTGACAACCTCTGCTCGAAATGATCATGCTATAAATGATAGCGCTTCCAACCTGCCATTTTTATGAGACTCATATAAAGAGCTTTTAAATATTATGGATACTTGGGCCCAACTCCTAGGTTCTTCTGGAGCCCAGGCAAGGATATTGTTAAGGTTCCTTCCTCTCCCAAAAAATTAAAAAGTGCTGCTAGGATTAAGAACCGCTGTCATAGAAGAACTCGTGTTAGTGGATGCCAATGTCTTATCTACTCTTATCTTCAATGCTTGCATGTTGACCACGATTGTACACATGAAATGCCTCATGTATTTGCTCCATCACTCAGTACTTTCTTTTCTGGAGCATCTTCTATATATCTGCCACCGGAAGTAAAATGAATAACAGAAAAAGGTTCCTTTCAGTACCTCACTATGGTGCCCAATAGTCTATGTGCAGCTGTATGTGCTCACATTCATTTTCCTGAGGAAAGGGGCCACAGCTTTCTTCAATGACTCAATGACGGTTGGTAACTACAACAACATGTAAAGAATCCTGTCTCTGGAGGACTTGTGTTCCCTCTCCCATCCACACGATTAGTACTGAGAGTCAAATTCCCAGACTGTGCATTATTCTCTTTACAGCACAAAGACTGGGAGTGACTGTGGAAATCATTGCTACGCTGGTCTTCTGTTCCTTGTCGCACGGGTCCAGCACTGCACTGTCTTTAAAAAGTTTCCACATGAATGAGTCTGCTTCCCATTGTTACTTATTCCTTTGCTCAACTTCCTGCTTTTCTCTTGGACTGTAGAATGAGATCACCTTTAAAACTACAATGCTTGGAAATAATTAAGCCTTTGTATTTGACCCCAAATAACCAAAGCAGTAAAGATCTGAAACACCAGGCCTACAAACTAACTTCAACTTCTGCTTTCTTTTCCATAGGTTCCTTCTTAGCTAGGGATATGCTACAATGACCGTTGCCTCTTTCCTATTCTCCTAGTTGTCTAAAAGATTCTACCGTGTGGCTATAGCTGGGGTAACAGGAGCATGTTATTTTTCTCAGGATTTTATTGCTATGAAGAGACACCCATGATCACAGCAACTCTCATAAAGGAAAAACATTTCATTGGTGCTGGCTTACAGTTTCAGAGGTTTAGTGCTTTGTCAGTATGGTGGGAAGCGTGATAGCATGCAGGCAGACATGGTGCTGGAGACAGAGCTGAGAGTTCTGCATCTTGAGCTTCTGAGACCTCAAAGCCTGCCCCTACAGTGACACACTTCCTCTAGCAAAACCACACCTCCTAATTGTGCCATTCCCTAAGTCAATCATTTAAACACATGAGTCTGTGGGGGCCATTTTTATTTAGACCACCACACTTGCTGTCTGTGATAAACTTACTAAGTGTCGTCTCATACCTGCAGGGCCATGCTGTCACCTCCCTGATGACACTAGTTCATCAGGTGTCTCTACTTTGTCTGTATCTCTTCCACAGCCAAGCATAGAGTGAGGTGAGACAGACTAAAACCTCTGAAAACGTGAGCCCAAATAACTTATTCTTCCAAGTTGTTTTTCTTAGGTATTTGCCACAAAGACAAAATTGGCTCACAATGAGTAAGAGTCTATTTCCAGCGTGTCTGCTCTTTTCTCAAGGTCTAGTTTTCTGTTCCTTTGCCAACACCATACTGTCTTGACAACTGCAGATAATAGTAAGTCTTTAAGTGAGATCACAGTCCTCCAACTTTACTGTTCTTTCTCAGTGTTTTGTTCTTTCCTGGGTGTTTTGCTTCTTCGTGTAATCTTCAGAGTCAGTTAATCAATATTTACTGGAAATACATTGAATCTGAAGATCATGCTGAGAGGAAAAAGCATCTTGACAACACTAAGTTTTTCCCAACCATGATCTTGGAATAACTTTCTTTTTTGACTTAAAATATTTTGTTCTAATGTAGGTGCTAACCTACAAGGCATTTTTTTTAACATGTATGAGTGTTTCGCCTTCTTGTATGTCTTTGCACCATGTTCATGCTTGTTGTCTATGGAGGCCAGAAGAGGGCATAGATTCCCTGGAACTAGAGTTAATTATAGACAGTTTTGAGCCACCATGAGGGTGATGGGAATTAAACCCAGGTCCTCTGAAAGATCAGTCAGTGTTCCTAACTGCTAAGTCACATTTCCAAGAAGACATTTTGTTTTTACCTTAGTCTGTTTTATTTTCCTATAACAGAAACACTGAGACTTGGTCATTTTGAAAGAAAGATATTTAGCTCATAGTATGGAAGTTGAAGAGCATGGTGCCAGGATATGTTCGGTGTTTGTCAAGAGCCTTATACTGCTCCATGAAGAAAAGACTACTGGGAAGGAAAGGAACTACCATGTGTATGAGCACATGGAAAGAGGGGAGAGAGACACTTTACTCAAAGGACCCAGGCTTCCCTTCTCAGAATGACATTATCACACACACACAATCTAATCACCTCTTAGATGGCCCACTGCTCAACACTATTACATTGCCGGTAGAGGACTGGGGAGATGGTTTACTTGGCAGAATGATTGTTGTTTAAGCCTGAGGGCCTGAGGTGGAATCCTCAACACCACATAAAATGCTACACTGGTACACACCTGTAATCCTAGTGTTAGGGAGGAAGAGAAGGGGGATCCCTGGAGCTCACTGTTGCATGTTCAGTGACAGGCCCTGTCTCGGAAAACAAGGTGGAGAGAGACAGGCACTCAACATCAACCTCTGTCCCCAACATATGAACATATATGAGTGTGCACACATACATAGACAGGCCTACACTACCCAATCTCTTTCTCTCTGACTGTCTGGCTCTCTCACTCTCCATTTCCCTCCCTTCCTTCTCCTCCTTACCCCCAAACACACACACACACACACACACACACACACACACACACACACAAATGACATTATATTGGAAATTAAATTTTAGAACCATATCCAAAACATCAGTTTCTAATTTCAAATTCAAATTTCAAATTTGTTCATTGTCAATATATTTTTTAAATGTCTTTTGTGTAATATATGTCTTATTTCCTGAAAACTTGTAATTGGCTTTCACCTGTCTTTTCAAACACTCTACCTAGACCCACATTACACGCAAAAGTCAGTTGGAGCTCTTTCCTTCCCAGGCATCCTACTTTCCCTGCATTCTCCCATCTTATTGCAGTAGTTAGGACTCTGGCCCCGGAAAGACTGACTGAAAAGAGTTCAGGTTCTAATAGTCCAGAGGTATTGGGTCTTTTCTCCTGCTGGTTAGCCTGGAGCCAATTCTCCAGTGCTTACCCTGCAGACTCGCCATCTCCATTCCTGTCTAATTTGTCTGGCTGCAGTGTTAGTACATCCTGGAAAACACCTTTAAGGAGACGTGACTAACGCACAGACACTAACACGTTGGCCTGAGCTTTGTACACTCACTAGCACATGACGGGTGATGTTTGTATCCTCTCATTCAAGGTAGGGAGAATATCAAAATTTCCTGTAAAAGGAAGGCACCATGCAACTTTATTTTGCATTAATTGTTACCCTTGGTGCTATGACAAAGGCAACTTAAGGATGAAAGGGGTACTTTGGGTTTGAAGTTCAAGGGGATACCGTGCCTGACAGCGGGAGCTGGAGGCAGTTGATCACATGGCATCCACAGCTACACGTTGGATCCCTTTCTCCTTTTTATACAGTCTGGGACTCTAGCCAATAGCATGGGGCTTGGCAGCTCACATTCAGGGTAAGGCTACCTTCCTCTTACACTTCTGTGGAAGCACCTTCACCGACACACCCAGAGATGTGAAACTTCCACTGAATCACCTTCCCAGACAAGCAGAGATGTGTTTCCATGGTGATTTGATGATCTTAATACAGTTGGGGTGATAAGGAAAATTAACCATTACAGTTCCCCAGACAGGTGCTGGTAACCAACTGGTCCTATAGCCAGCCTCCTGTGAAGCCTCCTTCAAGGGACACTATCTTAGTTACTGTTCTCTTGCTGCAATTCTTATAAAAGAAAGTGCTTAACTGGAGACTTGCTTGCAGTGTCAGAGGATTAATCTATGAGCATCATGGAGGGAACATGACAGCAGGCAGGCTTGGTGCTGGAGCAGTAAGAGCTTACATCCTGGTCAACGGGCAGCAAGGAGTGAGAGGGGAGGAGGAGAGGGGAAGAGAAGAGAGGAGAGAAAAGAGAAGAAGGGAGGAGAGGAGAGGAGGGAAGGGAGGGGAGGGAGGGGATGACAAGAGAAGAGAGGAGAGGGACAGAGACTAGAGAGAGAAAGAGCGAGAGAGAGACTAGACCTGGCTTGGGTCTTGGAAACTTCAAACCCCACCCCCCAGCGACACCCCTCCTCCAACAAGGCCACACCTTCTTATCCTTCCAAGTCATTTCCACAAACTAGGGAGCAAGCATTCAAATATATAAGCCTATAGGGGCCATTATCATTCAAACCAAAACAGACACCTAAAATAAAAGGGTCCACAGTCAGGATACAATAACTTGTCTTTTGGGTTTTTGTTTGTTTGTTTTTACATATAACAATATTATTATCTATTAATTCAGCTTTCTCCTTGGCAAACCTTCCTCTGAGTCAGGCTCTTCTCCAGTGTTCTCTGTTCACAACATGTAAAGAGAAAACAACCAGAATGTAAGTTTTTAGAGGACATGAAGGCAACATAGTGATAATTACCTACCAGAAAAAGCAATGCAAACAAAAACAGAACAATCCACGACCCCAATGTAGCCTCCCAATGCAGAATCTAAGAGTTCGAGAACAGCCAATGTGTGCTATAGTTCATTATTCCCCTGGTTTGATCGCATTCCCACTGGATGTGTAGACTCATGCTCTGTTCCTCCTATAGACCCATCTGGGCATTCCTATTTATGCTCTCTTAGTGAGTCTTGGTCTCTGTGACCTCCCTGGTCTCCACTGCCTAAGCCTCTCTTAGGCTGATATATCCAGAATGCTAGCAGAGAATGCTGTGTGTCACCAAACGACTATCATCCCATGACTTGGCTTCTAAATTAGTGCTTCTGGGGCTCCTCAAATTCTCAGGAGGGTACACCATGGCAACATCCCTAGGAGAGACCTTTAAAATGCCTACTGATTAACTTAGTTTCAGTTGGCAAGACTCATCAAGACTACTTATGTGACAGATCTGAACAGCAGTTTTCACTTCAGCTTCCTCAGTGTGAACATAGAGGATCCTTTTCACACAAATTCTACAGAGTCAATCCTGGCTCTGCTAATTCTAAGCTTTGATCCCCAGCAAACCCCTTAGTCTCTCTTGCCTCTGTCCTATGACCTCTCCAATATGCAGATAATAGAAGTAGCTACCTCCTGGGATCACTGTCAGAAGTGATTTAGAAAAGAACCGAGCGGTAAGCATTCTCCCCATGTACCCAGCTGTCACCATCATTTCTGAGGAAAGCTCATAAAGAAAAACAAAATACAAATAGTAAGGTTATAGGTGAGAACCAGGAGCAGGCAAAGGAATTCTCTAGAAAAGCCACAACAAGAGGCACTTTAGAAGAATATAGAGTGGGGTGGGGTATCTAGTCTGTCCTTATTCAGAGGAATGGTCTACATTATTCCAGCCTCAAGACACATGGGACAAGCTGTCAGAAATTTAGAAGAGGCAGACACAGGTGCCCTAGGCTGTAGCCAGTGCCAAACGACTCCTCCCAAGGGTCAGGCAAGGAGAAGGACCAGAGAGGTGAGGTGTGTCCCTTTGTTTTTCCCATCTGTCCCTAATGCTCCCTGTTTTACAAAGAGGGGAAACTGAACAGGGCTGTTTTGCCCTTTGAATCACCTTGGCAACCAGAATTCCTTTTCTCTTCCAGGAAACTGTACACAAAACAAACTCACCACGCTGGCACTCTTCTCTGCTTGCCTTTTCTAGGAGCTGGTACTTTCCAAGAAAAAAAAAAATCTCTTAACTGTTTTCACTGTATGCCTGACCCCTTAAAATGCATTGAGTAATAATCACATGAAAGACTCTAGAAAAAAAAAAATGGATTTAAAAGCCCCTGTGTGATAAAAGTAGCAGGCTTCTTTCTTATGACAGGCAGGCACAGCGCACGAGTAGTTGATGGAGTTATATCCAAGTCCTGTAGAGCAAAGGCTGGATGGAGAGGGAAAGGAGTTAGGAAGAGGGCATGTGAGAGAAAAATTTTTGCAGGCAGGGTCCATTTTGCAGCTCTGTGAGCAAGGTCCAGGAGGGAGCCTTCTGCTTGAGACACCTGACATGCAATGTGCTATGGTCACCACCTTGAAATTCTCAAGCGTTCTAAGTGAAATATGATGAGGCAATGAAGCCTGCACACACACAATTTTAACCCCCAAACTCCTGTGTCAGGAGCCAAACTCCTGCCGGCCTCAGCCGCCTCCCTCTGCTCTGGCAGGGTCCTTTCCTTGTCCTATGGGAGGGAAAAGCTCAGCATGTGCCCTGCTGCAGGATGGATGGATCCTGGGCACCTGAGAGAGTGTGGGAGTGTGGCAGGAATCCCCAACGCCAGGTGCAACCAAAAATGCCAGGCTGAGGAGCAAACCTTCCCTCTGCAGTCTTGTGTCACTGTTGGGCCTCTTTCTCATCGCTGTGTTAATAATGAATTTAAATATGCAAGTGCACTCACAGCCACTGTGTCCAGTGAAATGAGGAATCCAAATGAGCAACTCTAGGGAGCCATTGGTTGTCTAGGTGACCCATCTGTCAGGTTCGCTCTGACGTCAGCTGGTGTTTGTCATCAAATCCGCCGTCAGGTCACCAGGTGTGAATGACTTTAACCCCGACTGGCGACAAGACACCTGGCAGAGAATTTCGATAAATGGAAATTTGCTGAAGAACTTAAGTGCAAATCGTAGGCGGCAATTGCTAGGGATTAGGTTTCTGCACTGGCCCCAAGAGAACAAACTGAAAATCAAAATGGGGTTACCACGTTTAAGCAACACCTCACTGAAGCCAAGCTAAGTTGTTATCTGAACTTCTGAGAAGCCAGGAGAGAGAAAGAGGGGGTTGTTCATGGTGGGTTTTCTCTGGCTCTTTTTGCAGAGCGGAAATAGAATCCTGTGCTCCATCATTCTGAGTCATCACCAGGGCCCATCCATCATCAACTACGACGATGACAGCGGGAAGACGTGTGTCCACATCGCGGCAGCTTCAGGTTTCGGTGACATTATTAACGATCTGGCAAAAGTCCCTGAGTGTAACCTGCAGGCTCTGGATGTGGATGACAGGTATCCATGGCGACTCAGAAAGTGCTGGGAACTACCAGTCATCTTCCCCTAATGTTAATTTTAGAATAAGATGTTGGAGGCGCTCTCCTTTCCTACTAGATCCTTATTGCTGGTAACACATGAGCTTGTGACATCAAGCCTGGGTCTATTTTAGTAAGAGGAGGAAAAATCATTGTTATGGAGAGAAGTTGTGACTACAGCACTGTCATCACCTTTTCCGCTTTTCACTGAATGCACGAAGTATTCTCAGGGTTTTGTTGTTGTTGAGCTATGGTTCTTCGTTGCTCCTGAGTTGTATCATAATGCCAACAATCTCTTATCCAGAGAATCGAGTATGAGAAGTATTTTAATTTATAACCACAAACCATACTACTGAGGATTTTCTTTTCAGTCGTTGATGATAATGTTATTGGCTGGAAAAGTAGTCTGGGTCCATCACCTACCGTGATACACTTCCTAACTCTAGTTTAGGCACCATGGAAATATAAGGAAAAAAAATAACAAGCAAAGCTATTGAAAGTAAGTGTAAGAATTAGAAGCTGTCTGAGCTTGTATTGCCATCTTCTGTTAAAGTAAGAAATGAGGCTGTCCCAATCTTCGATGGCCCCCAGGAGTACCTCACCGGATATCTGGACTCCTTTTAGTGGGCCTCTGGGTGGGTGTGTGTCTTATGTCCCTCACAGGTCTCGTAAGGCAGAAATGGTTAGCATGGTGATTTTAATTAAAACTGAAGTATACTTCTTCCTAAGACCAGGCGTTGATCCTGGGAAGGTAAGAAAGAGGGATGCCAGTAAGATGAGACGGGAAGTAAAAGATCCATAAAGAGAAGGAACATATCTTAGCATTAAGAGAAGAGAGGAAGTTTGCCTACTTCAAAATGCTGTGAGAACCAGCTCTGAATAGATGCTTCCCCATTTTGCAGAACCACACATCCAGTGAAGAAAATTCATTTTCCTGGGCCTCAGGGAAGAAAGAAAACCTAGAGAGGAAAATCAATGCAGATGATTAGGCAGGATGAGAAGAGAAGTACAGTTTCCAGGGGGCTTGTGCCCTGCTCCAAACCACTGCTTAAGCCATTCTTGCATTCTTATGCTGAACATGAAACTGTCTTTTCCATGAAACTATGAGTTTCTGTTAATAGTTGAAATGTTCAAAACCATAATATGCCTAAGGCATCTTGGGACCTCTTTTCTCCTTTTAATTTTCTAGTGAAGACTTTCCTAATGAAAGATTTTATAGGAAGAGAAGAAAAATAAGATTGCAATGGGAGATGGGTAGGGGAAGGAAGGCGAGGGGGGGGGAATGTGGAGCACCCGTGTGCCTATGTGTTAGAGCACATCAGAGAGCAGGCAATAGTGCTATAGCCTTGGAACCATAGCTCTCAGAGAGGCTGAGGTAGGAGTTCACAAACTGGAGGCTACGGCATGAGACTCTGTCTCAAAAACACTCCATTTAAGCCAGGTACAGTGATGCACCCCTGTGATCCCAGCACTCAGGGAGGCAGAGGCAGGAGGATCTCTGTGAGTTCGAGACCAGCCTGGTCTACAAAGCAAGTCCAGGAAAGCCAAGGCTACACCGAGAAACCCTATCTGGAAAAACAACAACAAAAACACCCCATAAAAAGTGTCAGCAGGATGGCTCAGAAGATGGCTCAGACTTGTCACCAAGTCAGATAAACTTAGTTGTAGCCTATATAATGACAGGAGGGAACTGATTCCCACAAAGTCATCCTCTGATCTCCATAAAAGCACCATGGTCCACAAGCACACACAAAGATACCCACACACAATAAATAAATGTGGGGAGAAAACTAAATCACATAATAAATCTATGGCGTTTTAAATATTATAGCACTCACCTAAGATTAATGCCATGTCACTAATAATGCAGAAGTAGCCTGCATGTTTTAAATGTCCCATGTCCCAAATTTCATCAGTCCATAAGGTCATTATTCACTTCAGTAAACAACTCATTTCTCTTCGGGGAGGACAGCCTTTTATCACATTCTCCTCCCTGCATAATTCTGGGAATTCTCCAAGGATGTTTACAGGCTTCACAAATCAACCCTTAGCCACTCAGAGATGGGGCACTCCTGCGCCCTCCCACCTGTCATCTCCCACCAGCCAGAGACCACATCATCCAATGCTGGTCTCTGCTTTAAATCACAGCTCCTCGTTACGGTGGTGGCCGAGGCCAGCCTGCTGGGCCTGCGGGCTGATCCTCCAGCCTCTAAACGGGAAAGGGACTGTAGCTCAGACAACACAGACTCTGTGACACACATTTGCCCCCGAGGCGCTCAGGATGTGAATCGGTGATTGTCATTGCATTCCTCTTGTTTCTCCATACCCCTTCCACGGCAGCCAGAGGAGCTGAAACATCTGGTCTTGCCAAGTGTAAGGCAGGGTTTATTTCACAAACCTTCAACGTGAATTGTTGCATGTTGGTAAGCCTGACTGGACCAATGTTCAGTCCTCTATCAACTGGATTTATTGGCAATTTTTCCCCTAAATGGAGAGACTATTCCACTGTCGCCTTATTGTCTGGAGAATGCTCTTGTGCAGACTGGAACAAATTTTACCTGCCACATTCAGACACGCGATGGGACAGATCCCTGTATTGATAAGACAGTGCTCTAAGGCAGTGGCTCTCAATCTGTGAGTTGTGACCCCTCTGGGGTCACATAGCGTACATATATCCTGTGTAACAGATATTTGCATTACAATTCATAGTAATTATGATGTAGCAACAAAAATAATTTTGTGGTTGGGGTTACCATAACATGAGGGGCTATATTGGAGTCACAGCATTCAGAAGGTGGAGAACCACTGCTCTGAGGTGTCATAAAATGGAGAGGGGTGTTTAACAGGCAGATAACACAATCTGAGTGTGGGGACCTAGTACCCAAACACTCTCCAGGCACTCTGGTCCAAGGCCCTTCTCTCCCTACCTCCAGGTGCTCCTAGGCCTGAAGTTTGGCTCTCTCTGGCATGCCCTTCTACCAGGCCACAGGCCCTAGAATGAGGAGAGGCCTGCCATGACTATTTTTGCTTCTGGTTTTGAGCCTGGCTTCTGGAAGCAGGAAACATCATCTGTCATATTTACCTTGCCATACCTCTTCCCCAAGGTCAAATACAAAGTCAACCGTGCCTTTCCAGAAGAGAAAAGAAGTGAAAAGAATATACGGTCACAAAGGCTGAGGGTGGTGGCGGCACACGCCTTTAACCCCAGCACTCAGTAGGCAGAAGCAGGCTAATCCCTGGGTTCAAGGTTAGCCTGGTCTACAGAGTGAGTTCCAGGGTGGCCAGGGCAACACAGAAAAACCCTGTCTCAAAAAAAGCCAAAAGGAAGGAAGGAAGGAAGGAAGGAAGGAAGGAAAGAAAGAAAGAAAGAAAGAAAGAAAGAAAGAAAGAAAGAAAGAAAGAAAGAAAGAAAGAAAGAAAGAAAGAGAACAGATAGTCACATTAATAAGTGGTTTGAGACAAGTTGGTCACATGTTATAAAAGCATATACTGCGCATACCTAGAGATATGAATTCACTGTATAACCTCGGCTGGCCTCAAACGTCTAATCTTGCTGCCTCTGCTTCCGATAATGAAATTATAAAGAGATTACAAAAGTGAGCACTATGCCAAACCACATTTCTTATGTTTAATCCAAATAAATATAGAAGAAAATACTGGTTTCTTTTTTAAAATTGGTGCATCTTTGAGCTTTAACTTGGATAGACTATAGACTATGCACCAACCCAAAGAGAAATTTAGAACAACTCCTTTAATTCCAGTGTTGCCTCGTCAGGACGACACACGCCCCCGTCCTCGGCCCCGGCAACCACAGATTAGTTCTCTCTATAGCGTGTTCCTTTCAGAATGTCACATACATGTGACTGCGGGTTGCCTGCCCCTTCGCCAGCGTGCTGCAATGGGAAGTGGTTCAGATTTCTGAATTGTTGGGTTTGAGAAGACTTTCGTGCACGTAATGAGACGTCTTGAAATTAAACCAAGTCTAAGCACAAAACGTGTTTAAATACATAGCCTGAGGGTAATTGCACACGGCATTTTAAGAGCACTTGAACTTTAGCTCTGACCTGTCATACAGGGTCAGGCATGGGAATTAGTTATGATGTCCACATGTCAGTGCTCAGAGCACTTCAGATTTCACACTTTTAAAAGGGGGAAAGTCGCTATGGGACCTTTTGAGACTGGCTCGCGTCGCTTAGCAGAATGCCCGAGAAAGTCATCTCCACTCATTGGGTTATACTCCATAGTAGAGAGAAAGCACAATCTGTTTATCCATTGGCGGCTTTATCCATGACCAAGAAGGAAGGCGGCTTGCTTTCAGTTTGGGGAAGTTATAAATGCAGTTGATACAAACATTTGAGAGTGGCCTTTTATGTTAAGTTTCCATTTCTCTACCTAGATATCCAGAAGTGGGATTTCCAGGTGACGTAGCTACACAAGGTATATTTAACTCGCTAAAGCTTCCACTGAGACTGTGGGCAAATTCCAGGTCTTCTGCATTTTTACCAGCACCAGGCTTTGTTGGATTTTGTCTTATTTTAATCATTTTTACAGGCACATAGTATCTCCTTGCCATTTTTATTTGCTTTTTCCTTGTAACAGTTTTGTTGTTCTGGAGGTAGGGTCTCGCTCTGTAGGGCAGATATACCTGGAACTCACTATGTAGCCCAGGTTGGCCCCAAACTCACAGAAATCCTCACCCTTCACCTCCTGGGTGCTGCACCCAACCAGTTTTGGGTGCCACCAAACTGGCTTGACAAAGCACTTTTTGAGCCTGTGGCACTTTTCCTGGGCATCTTACTACCCACATATCTGTCTTGGTGAAATGTCTATTCTGACCCTCTACTATTTTTCTAATCAATCTCTTTTCTTATCATTCAGTTCGAAACTTGTTACACATTGGGATTATAAGCCTTTTGTTGCACATGTGGTTCGCAAATATTTCCTCCTATTTTCTGACTCCTCTTTATTTTATTAAGAAAATATTACTTTTACAATTTAACAAGTGGTTAAGTATTGGCGATTATCTATTTTCTTGTTAAGAAAGGACTTTCTAAACATGAAAGAGATAAAATGAAATGTAATTAAATGTGACTGCTTTCCACTTTTTATAGAAAAATCACTAAAAATGTAAAGATTGAACAAAAAAATTTGAAATGTTTATAGATGACCTATAAATGATCAGTATCTTTAATATGTAAAGAGCCCATATAAATTAGTAAGAAAAACATTAATACTCTAATAGGAAAATAGACAGTAGAACTGTCTACAGTGGCACATGCCTATAACCGCAGCTCTCGGGAGGCTGAGGCAAGAGGGTTATATATTCAAGGCTAGTCTGTGCTACAAAGTGAGCATCTACTTTAAAAAAAAAAAAAAAGCAAAAATTAACAAATGGCATTAAAGGTGATTTCAATAAAGAAATTCAGATAGCGAATTCAACCATACTGGTAAAGAAATACAAAAGGAAACAGTTAACAAAGATTTTATGATGGTGACATACTTGGCGTTCAAGGAGTAAGGACTCAGCTGTAAGAGGGTAAACGGAGTCAGCATTCCTGGAAGGCAGTTGGCACTGTGTATAAAGGGCCTTAAAATTACTCATACTTCCTCTTCTAGGAAATTCCCAGGAAGAGCAGAGATGGGAAGGCAGAGAGGATGCTCACGCCCTTGCCTCTGCACCCCAGGTCCATGCATAACATCTCAGACTTTAGATGACAATGGGATTGTCCTCCTCCTTCAGCCTGACTCTGGGTGGAAGCCAGCCATGGCTAAGCAGCCAGACAGGCTCTGACTCAGTCGTGTCTCTTCTGTGTCACTCCCCCAGGACACCCCTGCACTGGGCTGCAGCTGCTGGAAAGGCAGAGTGTGTCCAGTCCCTGCTGGACTTGGGCATGGACTGTAACCTGAGGGACATTAACGAGAGCACGCCCCTGGCCTACGCCCTGTACTGCGGTCATACAGCCTGTGTCAGGCTCCTCTCCCAAGAAGGCCGGTGAGTTTAGCTAGTGTCTTCCTCTCGAAGATTGATAACATTAATGTTTTCATAAGCCATCAACATGCAAAACCAGCCATAATAATAGTGTGTGTGTGTGAGAGAGGAGAGGCATGCATGTAGAGGTCGGGGAACAGCTTTCAGGAGTTTCTCTGCTTCCATTATGTGAGTTCCAGGGCCAGAACTCAGGTCATCAGGCTTGGTGACAGATATTTTTATCCACCGAGCCATCTAGCTGGCCATGGAAATTTTATAGTATGAGAATTACATAAGTGACACTATTAATCATCCAATTAATTATGTGTGTTTGCTGTCATCTAACATAAAGGGAAATGTCTTTATTATGTGGAATGTGAAAAGAGTAACAAGCTTGACTCCATCCGCTATGGTCCATATGACTTAAACCTCCTCTTCCTCTGCCTTTCTTCTTCCTCCTTCTGCCAAAATCACTTTTTCTCAAGATCATTTTATACTCTCAAATTTTTCTGAAGATGCCAAAGAGCCATTAAAGTCTGAGTTACATCCATCACAATTATGGTGTCAAAATACTGAATTGAGAAAAATTTTAACAAAATATCTGTTTTGTTATTTAAGTAATAATGCATGTGATTCTACATGTTAGAATAAAAACCATTTTTAAATTAAAACAGTATTGTAGCTGAATATATATATATAAATGAATTATATATAAATGAATTAATATATAACTTTTAATTTCACTAACGATGCCATTTTCAAAAAAAGAAGAAGATCAGCACTGTACATTCTTGGCAAATCAATTACATTCTTGGCAATTAAGTCAACTTTGAGTGACGCTTACACCGTGGTACAGAAGTTTCGTCTGGTCAAAGCCCAGTACCAATGAAGAGAAAACTTAATAGCACCAAAATCTTCCCTCCTCTCGTCACACTAGGACAGACTACCATTCAGTCCACAGGTTTTGTGTCCCTCTAGGCTCTGTCCCATGCAAACCTGTGCAAGCTTTCGACATCAGAATTCTGAAATCTACAGGGGTCAGAGTGGAGAGGGATGAAACATCAAGACAACAAAATGTCATCGGATCTACTGGGTTACTGTCCGAGAACAAAATTCAGGTTAAGCACTGTTTTTCCAAACAGAGCGTGTCAGCCATAGGTGCTATGCTTATTTCGGACTGACATTGACGAAGCTGATGGGCAGTTGCTTTAATGAAATGTTCAATCAACAGCACACTCAAAGTACAAGACAAAAGTAAAGTATAAATTATAGAAATATATAAATGTGTTTTAAAATATAAAAATCAATTTAAAAAAACAAAAACTGTCCCAGCCATTTGATTTCAAACCAAGTAGAATATGTGTTTAAAAGCACTAAAGTGTTTCATTTGTAAATCCAGGATAACAAAATATCTCTGCATCAGTTCAGAGACTATTCTGAGTAAAAAATGTGAAGACGATAAATACAAATTTTAGTCAGCTTTTTCCTTTTCTCAGTTACTAATATACCACCACCAATGAGATTCACAATCTCGACAGCCTTTATTTCTTATGATCAGTAAGTATTTGCAGAATTCCTTGTGTTGTTCCATCATTCACATTAAGTAGCTACGTGTCTACTTGAGGAACTTGGATAATCTCCATTTGGGGCAGTCATTCATTTGATCATGTGATTGCCATGGTGAAAGGGAGATAAAAATAGATTAACAATTTAAAATATAAATGGATATATATTTTATATAGACAAATTTGCCTAACTATGAACAAAAATTCATAGTGAAAAAAAAAAAAACATCTATTATCTGCATCCAAATTTAGTGCTGGTGTTTTTCAAACATACAGTATCTCATTCCAAAGAGTAACATCACAGTCTCCCTCTTGGCAGCTGCCCATGGGTCCAATTTCATGGTTGATTCCTATTGCGGAAAGCATTAGACTTTCCAAAGAACTAAAAGAGAACAACGCCTCAGGGAAACTCAGCTTGAGCCAGCCCACCAAAAGCTGCCACTGACCTTTCTGCATTTGTGTTTGCTTGTGAACTGAGCATTGCTCACATCTGCCACACCCAACCTCTGGCACTCACAACTTCCTCTCCCACTGGAGCTCAAACTTTAAGTCTTCTTCACCTGTTTCCTTTAGTAGAGTATTTTTCATAACCATAGTTAGACTTTCTTTTTCAGACGTGAAAGAAAAACAAAGAGCAAACGGTATAAAAATGAGCAAGATTCTAGGGTTCATATTGTCAGTGCTGCTGGGCTCCTTGGGGTCTCTCACTCAAAGAGAACATAAGAACCAGGTCACGTCTGCAGCTCCCAGCCTCTTTCTGCCATGTGAGACCTGAACTCACACCTCACACTTCATACGCCACTGCTGACTGTCACATTAGGCTATTTTCAGCTCAAATCATTGTTAGTTGAAAACATATTGCCATGAGGAAATTGAAAGAATTTACCCTCTGGAGGAGGTGGTTATGTCAGTAAACGCTGAGCAACAAACATAAGGACCTGAGTATGAGCCCTTAGCAACCATGAAGAAGCCAGGCATAGTAGCCCACAGCTGCAATCCCAGTTCTGGGGAAATGCAGACAGCATGTGTCTGTGGCTTGCTGACCAGCCAATCCAGCTGAATAAGCAAGCTCCAGATTCAGTAAGAGGCCCTGCCTCAAATAAGTGGATAAATAAATAAATAAATAATAGAGATAAACAGATAGATAGATAGATAATAAAATGAGGTTAGGCCAGAGACATGGTTCAGTAGGTAAAGTGGCTTGCCATGCAAGCTTATGTCCAAGTTCTGTCTTAGGAGCCCACTTAAAGGTCAAAGGGAGAATCAGATTCACAAAGTTGCCCTCTGACCCCCACAGACAGCCCTGACATGGAAGTACCCGCCTTTACATACACTAAACACACACAGATATCAGCATAAAAGCACAGCTCTCACCTCAAACGAGATCAGAGGTGGTTTATTCTGGAGCCAAATATGAACTGCCATAGCCTGGGGACAAGATTTAGCTTACCTCAAAGTCCATGTGCCAAGATGAAGTTCTCACAGAAACAGAGCCAAGAAAGTTGCAAATCAAGGCACCTTGCAAATACATCGATAGAAGCATTTGGTAGGCAGATTAGGACAGAACAGGGAAATTTCTAGTATGGGCCTCAGGTACCAGCTGACATTCTTAGGCTCTTGGTTGATAGAAGCTAGGTGTCAGTTTGTCTTTCCACAGGATTTACCTAATAGCCACCAACAGAGGAGGGCAGTCAGTGGCTACTAAAGGGGATAAAAATGTCCTGAGATATTTTGGCTCTGGACATGAAACATCTCAAACCCTCTGCAATGACCGATGTTTCAATCCGTTAATTACAGAAGGGTCAGCGGGAGATACTGCTTCTTTCAGAGAACTCTCTTTTATACATACCATCATAAATAAGGGTTAAAGACTAAATAAATAAGGTTTGACAGACACAGAGGAAGACACAAAACATCCACCTTTAGCCTCCGAATGTAGAGAGAGGAGAATGAGGGTGGAGGAGAAGGAGAGACAGAAGGAAAAGAGAGTAATAGAAGGGGGAAAGGAGGGGGAAGGAAGAAAGAGAAAATAGCCCATATGGAAGATGATACAGAAACCCATAAGTGGCCAGAGAGCCAAAAATAAACAATGGTGGAGTATAGGGGGGGGGGTCTTAAACAGGATGGCTGTGTCAGCCCCTTCCAGGCTCAAGGAACATAACAGAAAAGGAGCGAGAATATAAGCGCCAAAAGTTTGAAAGATGGCGGGCAAAGAGATATCTTCTGAATATAACACAGTCATTGCCCTGATGTAGTTATCTGCATAACTACACTGGTTATGCGAGATGGGGCCTGTCAACATTTCATCATGAATGGGGAGGGATCCTCCCTAAGGAATTATCTGCAATCACTAGTTAGGTGGATAGGCTGTCATTTTCTCCGGTGGTGTAACCATGATAAGTTGCTCATGTTCCAGTAATAACTTCTCTCCCACACTCATGCAAGAAACCCAGATTAACTTCACTGGAAGTGCTGGAAAGAAAAAAAAGAAGAAAAAAAAAAGGTTCAGGAGAAGATGGAGGGGATGAGGGAGAGAGGAATTGGGGTGAAATGACTAGAATTGATTGCATACCTTAGAGCATTACATCACGTGCATGGACAACACTGTCAAAGGACAAAAAATTGGGAGTGAATCCAACCCCTGAGAGATGTGGGTAGAACATGCCCATAAGAACGGTTCTCAGGAGGCTGAAGCAAAAAGATTATGAGTTTGAGGCTATCTTATGTAGAGAGTCCCCATCTCAGAGAGAGAGAGAGAGAAAGAGAGAGAGAGATGTTGAGGTACCACCTCTGCAAGGAATAGAAGATGGGGATTCCTATAATCGAAGATGGGAATCCTTGAGAAACCTTGTCTTGGGGACTGTGGTCATCTGTGGGCTAGCTAATCAAGTAGGTGGAATGGGGTTGGAGTATCCGTTATCTTGTTCTCTCCCCCGTTTCCTGTCCTCCCATGGCATTTCCGTTCTTTTCTGTTTCTCTAGAGCAGAGGCTACTCGACCTCTTCCTTCCCAGAACAGTGTACCCCAAAAGAAAGAAGGACGATTCAGCGTGCTCAACCAGATCTTCTGCAAAACCAAGAAAGAAGAACAGAAATCCCATCAGAAGGACCAGAGCAGGGACAGACACAAGGAGGAGGACACCTCGGAAGTCAATGACATCATCACCACCTTTGACAACACCGTGGATACCAACTGCCAAGATCAGCCTGGTGACCAGGTGGCTATGGTCGTCTTTAAGAAGAGGACCTCAGAGAATTCAAAGTACTTCTTGTCAGAAAAGAAACCCCTGGCCCGGAAGGGGCTTCCACCAATCAGAACACAGAGTCTCCCACCCATCACGCTGGGCAATAACTTCCTGACAGCCTCCCATGGAACCACTTCCCATGCTGGCCTGAGCTCTGGTCCTCAGCAAACTGCCCAGCGCTCTCAGAAAAGCCGAAGTGAACAGGACCTGTTAAATAATAGGACTGGCTGCCCGGGGGCAACAGAAAATCCCTGGAAGGGTGACACTAGGCAGATATTCTCCTGCAAGGCTTGGACCGTGTCTTCTGATAAGTTACTAGACAGGCTGTGCGTTGGCCAGCCCGGTCACCAGGAGCTCGCTGGGCCACCACACCTTCCGCATCTACATAATGCCTCGCCAGGTAATGGTTCACGTTCTTCTTCTCATCCCTCACAGTCAGGAGTAGCTCCTACAGAGTTAAGCTGGTAACTGCCAAGCGAGGGGAGGCTGCAGACACAGGCAATCAAATGGTGACTAGAGGCACCTTTATTTTTGCTCTCAACTCCAGTTTGAAGATTTCTGAAAAGTGAGAACTTTCAGCTTTTCCACCCTGAGTGGGCTGAGGCTAAAAAAAAAAAAAAAAAAAAAAGTATTTCTCTAAAGGGGCTCTTTACTGGAGTTATGTAGCACTCTCATCTGCAAAAACGTTAATTGGCTTGTGTAATTAGTTGTGTGGTTTAAGCCATCACTCGGTCCCCACCCAAAATCTACCCCATCAAAACTGTTGGTGAGGAAAATGCCAGTACTGTGTTTGCAGCTGTGTAGAAAGGTGACATATTTGCACGTGGCTTGGATCTCCCCACACACGCAGGCCTGCAAGGCTGTTCTCCCTCTTGCCTCTGCCCTCATCCAAAGCTACCCGTGTCACTCAGGTCTTGCCTGTGCTTGCAGATACATTTTACACACTTGTGTATAGGTCTGGGCTTAAAAGCATGAAATCTCTCTCTTTCCCCCTCTCCATCTCCTGACACTTTGGAGGAGTCTCAGCCTTTCTGTGTGGCTGTTTTGCCCTCAAACAACCTTGTTCTGAGCTTTCAAAATAATCTCTACAAATAAACACGAACTAGTTTTATATCCCCTTGTGATAATCATCATACTAAAGAACTTAAATTTTGGTACGGTTTGTTGGTTCACACTATTAATCCCAGCACTCGGAAGGCAGTAGTGGGTGGATTCCCTAGCTGTACATCAAGGCCAGCCTGATCTACATAGTGAGGTCCTGGCCAGCCTGGTCTATGTAGTGAGGCCCTTTCTCAAAAATTAATTTTAAAAACCTTTCATATGCATACAAATATTATATATTAATATTCTTCCTCATTATACATAAAGCATCACGTTATGCAATGGCAATTTACTTGGCTGTTTGCTTTTTGAGCAGACTAGCATTGAACTTACTACGTGGCTGAAGATAACGTTGCCCCCTAATGTGCCACTTCCAAGTGCCGGATTATAAACTTCTGCCATCTTGCCCAAGGGATTCTGAGGCTGTACAGCTTTGAACTCTGCTCACTCACATAGTGCCTTGGTTTGTTTTTCAAATGAATCAATTGCCAGTGTTTAAAATGTAACATTTTACATAAAAAAAAAAAAAAATCTAAAGATTCTGGTTTCTCTTGAGAGATTGAAGCCAGCGTTCTTGTGGGACACTGACTGAATGGCTCTGAGGAACCACCACACTCTTGGGTGCCACTGTTCGAAGTATAATTCAGAATTATTTACATCACTTCCTTCTTATCAACACACTTCAGGTGTTTTTTTTTTCTTATACTAGAGTTAAAGGGGAAACTTATATATTTACTTAACCCATACTTCTAAGTTTTAAAAAGGAGAAACTGTGTGTGTGTGTGTGTGTGTGGGTGTGTGTGTGTGGGTGTGTGTGTGTGTGTGTGTGTGTTTAAATATGGAAGGGTCAGGTTTCTGTTTGATGTAGAACTTTTCTTAGTAATTTTTTTTTAATGCATGTGTGTGCACATGAATGCAGATGCCTTGGTCAGGGGACAGTTTTGAATGTCATCCTCAGAAAGCCCATCCATCTCCCTGTTTTAGACAGGGTCTTTCCTTGACCCAGAGTTGACCAGGGAAGTTAAACCAGCTGGCCATGAACCCTAGGAGTCTCCTGACTCCACACCCCTAGTTTGGAGTATTACAGCAGTGCGTCCAGTGGTTCTGCATGGGTTCAGGGGAACACAGACCCTTGTATTTGAAAGATACTTCACCGACCGAGCCACCCCTTGTGGTGGTTTAGGTAGGAGAGGCCCCCATAGACTCCTGTGTTTGAAAGCTTGGTCATCAGGGAGTGGCACTATTAGGAGGTGTGGCCTTGTTAGAGAGAGTGGGTCATTAGGGTTGAGCTTTGAGGTCCAGATGCTCTCTTGCTGCTGTAGAACTCCCAGCTCGTTGTCCAGCACCATGTCTGCCTGGGTGCCACCATGCTTCCCGCCATGACGATAAGGGACGAAGCCTCTGAAACTGGAAGCCAGCCCCAACTAAATGTTTTCCTTTATAAGAGTTGCCATGGTCAGGGTGTCTCTCCACAGCATTCAAATCCTAACTTAGACCCCCCCCACTCCTCCATCATGGACATAGGTTTAGTGCATGAAGCTTTTAAAGACTAATGTGGCTCGTCTCGTGTACATACATATGCACATATATGTCCCAACACAGGACAATTGTGGATGTACACACGAAGGCTACTTGTTGATATCTGAGATAAACCACTCAGGATTTTGCTTGCTCTACAGAGTACTGAGAGTTTTGAATGGTGGCCTGGATGACGTTTTTACACTGTTGCTGGCAAAGGCTCAAGAGGGAACACGAAGCTCTACCACCTTTGGCAATTTGGTGGCTGCTAAGGCTTCAGTCGGGCCTTCTTTTTGGAGTTAGTTCTGGCCTGCCTAAGCTAATAATGCTTCCTTTGGAGAAACCTTTGAAAACTTGACAGTCCTGTTATTTTCCCACCTATTTAATGTAAGTGATGTTTGGGTTCAGCTACCTGTAACAGGAAGCTGAAGGCACTTATTTACAGTTGCATAGTTTTGTAATTGCAATTGGGAGGCTGAAGCAGGGCTATGGTAAGTTTGAGGGCTAGTGAAACACTGTCTCAAAAGGAGGGAGTAGGTGTTTCAGCGTGTCAAAATCGGCATGTTACCCATGTCTATCTTTACCAAATTGTTTAACTGAGCGTTTACAAAAGAGAATGAATTGATTGGTTTAAAAAAAAAAAAAAGCAAGGAGGCAGAAACTGAAATCGCAGATCACGCCCCCCCCCCCCCAAGCCAGAGTTTGAGAGTTCTTATGCCGTTACGGGGCCAGTGGACTGGGGGGGGGGGGGGCGCGGATGACTGGAGGTGAGGTGGCTACCGCAAGCATCATCCAACTTCCCAACTCCTCAGAGACATGTGCTCAGAACAGCACCATGAGCATGATCTGAGGGCGGAACTTTGCCTCCTTACCTCACAGGGACCCTCACCAGACATTTGCACTAGCCCAAGTGAATGGTTGGTAACTTCAGTAAAACTTCACCTCAAGTCTGTGAAAAAGAGTCTGTGAAAAATTAATCGTTGTAAGCTGTACATCAGAAATACTGTCTAAGCCATGCTAGGGGAGATTTAAGAACACACCCTTTGGCTGTGTGACTCCCAAAACTGGCGATTCTTGTTTTCATTCGTTTTTGAGACAGTCTCTTCCTGTATCTCTGGAATTTCCTGTGTAGACATATGTGTAGAATATACATAGGTATATTCCTTGAACTCACCACAATCCTCCCGCCTCGGCCTCGTAAGTCCTGGGATTCTATGCATAAGACATCATGCCCAACACGAAACTGATGCTTTTTAAAGTTGATTAAAAGCAAATAGGTGGCTAGGTGTGATGACACCTAGTGCTCTTACCACTGAAAGGATGGGTCAAAGCAGGAGAGTCAGGAGCTCAGTGCCAGCCTCCACTACTCAGTGGGTTTAAGGCCCTCTTCAGCCAGTCTCTAAACAAATCAAAAAAAGACTGGGGGTGGGTGGAGGCACGGAGTCTTAGTAAAACACAAGACACAAGAGAGCTGGCTGGTGTAACCAAGCTTAGGCCAGCTATGTTCACTGGAGGGGGATGATCAAAGCTAGGAGGCTGTTCTCCCACAGAGCCTTACAGGCTTTGGTCTTATTATTTTGATAGCTGTACTTTGAAAATGGCTCTTGAGTCCTTAAAAGATGAGCTTTGGGCTTCACACGATACATACTTAATTCTTCTTCTTCTTCTTCTTCTTCTTCTTCTTCTTCTTCTTCTTCTTCTTCTTCTTCTTCTTCTTC